TGAAATTTGAAAACATATGTGTTTTCACTGAAACGTATACAAAAACATAAGCATTTTATATGAAAACGTCAGTGTTTTTGTTTGAAACACTGGTAAAACACGTGTAGTGTTCCCAAAATTTACAGTGTACAAAACTCCCCAAAATTGTCTTCAATGCTGAAATCAGCTCCAAGTCGAAAGTTATTGCGGGGGACTCAATGTCTGTTGCAGCAAGTATGAGCTATTTGAAACAAGAAACGATTTATTTATTTTAGTTTGCGTTTATCCGCAATAAATAACAAATAGGCAATATAATTAAAAAGCCGTATGAACAATTCAATGGTCAAGTTTCATAATTGTGAATTAATCCCTGTCTCACCGGAACACCGTGTTAGTTGTTCATTTTAATATTACCTATTAAATCATACATCTCCGCCGAAACAATGCTTAAAAATAAGATGTCATTGAAAGTGCGCATAGTCATACATGCTATGTACAGAGGAATAAAATTTAGCATCAGCTTTTATTAAAAATGTCTTCAAATATTATCAATGGATAATTGTACATGTAATATCTTATTCCCATTATTTTTGAACGCTCGAGAGGATATACAATGATTATTTACAGCTGCAGTAAGTGCCAAAATCGTCTTGAAGTTACCCCTTGATCTCCCCAACTCTCAGTACCAGCTAAATGTAGAAGCCAGAAGTAATGATAAGACTACAGTTTTCAAGAACTCGACAGATCTTAGCTATAGCGAGAAGGGAATGTCCATATTTATACAAACGGATAAGGCTATTTATAAACCTGGACAAAAAGGTATATATTACTATTGATATTTGTGTATGTAGTCAACTTACTTAAGATTCGCAATTTTATACTGTAATGACCAAAACACTCTGTACGTTTGTTACGCTTTTATATCAACAATAGATACTCGGTCGAATGTTACACTGCCGTTCACTTTGGTAGTGTCTCAGGGAGTGTATGCCTCTAAGTGTTCTAATGAGTACTTATAATTTGTTGCAGTTCAATTTCGCACATTTGGAGCAAATCCAGATCTTTCTTTGGTGTACAAAAAGATCGACGTCTCAATTTTTGTACGTATTTTCAAACTAAAAATGAAATAAAATGTTGTTATAGATGAATATTTACATAAGATTATATGCCATCTTGGCCTTTATAAAAGAATAGTTTATTTTATAAAGATATAAATTATGGTATAAGAAACAAATGTTTAATTTTTTTTAACAATCATGTAATGGTGTATGTGATATAAAACCTAATATTTGCTATATAATTCAGTTGATGGATATTCTTATTGTGATGCTGTTTATTTAAGGATCCCAATAATAACAAGATAAATCAATGGTTGACAGTTGATGACCCTAGTGGTGTATTTCAAGGTGAACTTCAGTTGTCTGACCAACCACCGCTTGGTGATTGGAAAATAGAAGTTATACAAGGTGTAAGTTTGACATGTTTTTTACTTGTAAAGATAAGAAATTGCAAATTTGCTGCTTTATAATTTAATTTCAAAAATGATAACAATATTTCTTAACGAAATGAACCTAACACGTAAAGTGCAACGTGCAACGGCGTGTGTTCCCAAAAATATTCCCAATATTAAATGCATGATGTCTTGTCCGTTAATGCGTAATTGCATGCGCAGTTTTTATGCAAAAATACTCATTTATGATACACAATACTATCTCTTAAGTAGGGATTTTTTTATTTAAACGCTTTTTATGAAATCCTTGCTATATAATATTGTTGGACATTCACGCATCTTGTTTCTGTTTTGTGTATGTTTTATTAAGTTTAATGTTATCTCAACGTGTTTTGAAGTGAATCATTTAATCAATCAATCAATATATTTTGTTACATTTAGGGTACGTCGAGCACGAAGACGTTTACAGTAGAACAGTATGGTATGTATCTGCAATAATATTAATATTGGTATAAATAAATAGTATACATTGTATGTTCTATGATATATGCGCATGAATGTCAATTGTATTACTTGTATAAATTGTGTACATGTATGTTAATCAAATAGAATTTTAAAATGTCTGGATATTAACCATAAACATAAATTCATTCCGGTATTTCTAATTCCTTTGTTCATTTTCTATGTTTTCTATATAGTATTACCCAAGTTTGAAGTCAAAGTTATGGTCCCTAGTTTTGGCATAACATCAGACAAGGCTTTGTCCGGTAAAGTGGAAGCAAAGTGAGATTTTAAAGTCATGTTTAATTCATGTTTATGTTTAATTCAGTCTTATAATAATAATAATAATAATAATAATAATAATAATAATAATAATTAAATTTATTAATTAGATAATTAATAATCGAATTAGTTATGTTATATTCTGCCATCTATAGACACCACTAAAGCTTAACTTATTTATCCCATACTTGAGCATTTAATTGTATATGCTTTAAATACTCATCATATAACGTAAAGGTAGAAATTTGGAACAATGTACTAATCAAATTAACAATATCTTTTAGGTATACATTTGGCAAAGGCGTAGAGGGTAATGGGACTCTGACTATCAAGCGTAAATATAGGTCAGGAGAAATAAAACATTACTTTAAGGTACGTGTTTATTTATTAACTATGTATTACATTAACATGCAAATAATGTGCATTTCTTAAGATGTACATTCATATTCTTTAGATATACAGTTATATATTATATGAATGTGACTTTAATGTATTAGGTAAGATTCCTGTTTTCATCATGTAGCCTTGAATTCTGCCTAGGTTAATGGATTAATGACAATATGTTTAAAAATAAATCACCTCGTTGCAGCTGGATAAAAAAAAATCTAAAGAAGTTTTTTCCTCTTATTTACAGATAAATGGCATTCAAAGTTTTTCTATTGATATGAAATCACTTGTTGACAAATTTGGAAATCTGAACTTTGCAACACTTGAGTTAGTGGCTGATGTAGAAGAAGGTCTTACTGGCAATATTAGAAGCGGGTCTACCGAAATAAAGTACTATGAAAGAGAAGAAAAACTGGTATTTATGGACGGAGCCAATAACTTCAAACCCGGATTAAAATATACGTGTTATGTAAGTTAAAACATAATAGAACTCTTTAAAGGCAAAATTGAAAACAAAATGTTGTGTCTTTAAATGTATGTCGTGGCACTAATCATTGTCGTATATACCGTACATACTACATTATCTAGATATTGTATCATAGTTTGGGGACCTTTCTGTTGAAAAAGTGTCAGAGTTAAATCGTATACATATACATGCACAGTGCGGTAACTGGAGTGCAGGTATCAGTTACCCGCACTCCAGATAATGCCCGTTGATTGGTTCATTTTTGCTGGGGTTTACTTATTGTGACGGCAGAGAAAGGGAAAGGGGCAGAAATATCATATTCAAATGCTCGTCCATTGGTTCATTTTTTCTGGGGTTTCGTATTATGACAAAAGGGAACGTGCTGTCATGTTTGACTATGATACAAAAGAGAAAGAACACCAAAACACTCGGCAATCTGATTTATACTCGGGGGCTACGCCCCTCGTACAAATCAGATAGCCTCGTGTTTCGGTGCTCTTTCTATTACTTGTAGTATGTACGGTATATATATACCGTGGGTAACCGACGATGGGCACTTATATGAAGTTAAATACTTACATACAAAGGCATGAAGATATGAATTACCATTGAAACACAACTGGCAATAACATTATATCGTTTTGGTATTATAATACATTTTACTTGTTAAAGAAATGTATTTAATTAAATACATACGTTAGATAATTATAGCTTTCCATTTCGTTCGACAAGCTGCTTTTAAAAATATTATTTCTTTCAATTACATAGCTGTTTCTGTCTGACCAAGATGATAAACCTCTGGGAGCCACAGACTCGCAAGTAAATGTAACAGTGACCATGCGCTTCGGAACAAAGACCCCCGAGCCAATCCCACTTCCGGAACCTATACCAGTACCGATGCCGCTTAATGATGCACCAATGGCGAAAATGATCGGTTGAGATCTTTATATATTTATCAGAAACCACTTATTGATATGATCCAGTTGCTTTAATAATAATAATAATAATAATAATAATAATAATAATAATAATAATAACTTTATTTTGAGAAGGTGACATATTAAGAGATACAACTTATTTTTAATATGGCCTTCTGTACATAATTAAACAGAAAACAGAAATTACAATAAACAGTAATATAATTACGACAAACACTCTTACAAAATACATGGCAATTTTGTGGATTATAAATAATAAGTTATGGAAATTAGTATCTCAACATCGTATGCACATACAATCATCAATCAATGTTAACAATCAAACAAGCTATATAAATTTCTGTTAAAAAATCAATTTTTTAAGTTTTTAGCGCTTGAAGTGGTATTTTATATTAAAATATCCTTAAGTTTACCCTTAAAGGTGTAGTTTTTTGTCAGTTGGAAATGTATTCCATAAATGTGCCGCTTTGTATGTAAATGTTTGTTTCATATAATTTGTCCGTGGCCTGAAGTGAATAAGATCATTATTCGTTGAAGAGCGAACATTATATCTATCGTTATTAGAAAAAACTTGTAGTTCAGATATATATTGTGGTGCCAGATTATGTTCACTTTAAAAACCAATAAGGTCATGTGGTAATTGCATCTGTTTTCAAAAGTAAGCAATTTTTGTGTTTTGAATACACTTTGTTACATGCTGTTTCAGAATTACTCGAAGTGCCCTCTTTTGTATGTTGAATATTCTTTCGGTATCCTATTTGCAGTTTTGTCCCTATATAGTATTGCAGTAGTCCATTGTTGACACAATATATGCATTATAGTATAACATTTTCATATCATCCGTCAAAAAATATGAAATTCGTTTTAAAAATGCAAGTTTTGAATTGATTTTATTTATTACATTATGAACTTTCATAGTAATGTAATGAGGTTATGTATGAACAAGATTTTTAATGAATAAATTGTATGTTTATTAATGTACGTTTGATATATAGTGTAACATACAATCTACTTTAAGTGATATAATCTTTAAATTTGCCTCATAATCATAATAATTTAAATGTCATAGTATGATGGGTTTTTCTTTTTTATTCCATATAGCACCACCTTTCCCACCACCGACTGACTATCCTGATCAAACAATTGTGCTTGGACCCAAAACACTGAACGTTCCAAAAAATGGAATACTCCCATTTACATTTTCCGTACCTATATTCATTACTAAAATAAACATCGAGGTTAGTTGAATTTTAGAATATTTATTTTTTATTCATTTTTAAAAGAAACTCTAAGAAGGAAAGAACAGATGATTTATTCAGATTTGTACGCATTACATCTTTCGTACATGTAAATGAATATGTTTATCGACATGTGACACAATATAAGAAAAGACTAATGTTTTACTGTAATGTAACAAAATTGATATGACTTTGTGTTATTGAAATTTAAGGCTTTCACGCCCGTGACACGTACAGGTATCAACTTTTCATTACTTTAATTATCTTCTTTAAAGCATAAGACATTCACTTTTCAGATTTAAACAAATTTAACCGTCCAGTCTTTTTTTTGCGCCATACCTACTCTTTTAAATGCATTTTTGCCAAAATGCAAACACATTATGTTTGCATATGAAGCAAAGTTTTTATAGAATTTATCTTTATAATTTTGTTTTTATTTTGGACCAATTCTATAAATTTAGTGACTTTTAAATAGGCAACAATTACTTATTGCAACTTAATTAAGTGTGTAGGTCATCTATAAACCAAACATATCTTTAAACATATACAAGTTGTAAAACACAAACACCTTTACCCATAATATAGTTTGAATTTGATAACATTTGGCCAGGGTTTCTTTACTTTTTTTTAAAATGAAACAATTGATTTATTTTCTTTGCATTTCTTGGCTAATTTACTGTCATACAGAGCTAACATTGTGATACATTTATATGGTTTATTCATTCAACCAATAATTATTTATTTGTTTGTTAGCTTATGTATTTATCTATTTACCTTAAATATGAGTATGCTTCTAGAAATTTTGTAAATATTGATTTCTGGATTGCTGTTTTCTGTAAATTGATATTGCTTTATAGTTATATTTGACTACATGTTAATATTGTATCTAGCTGTTTAAACTGTTTTGTTAATATTGTAGTTATATATTTGTATATATGTTCAGCTCTTCATGTACATTGAAGGAAATAAAGAATCTATCTATGGCTATTTTACTGAGATATCAGTACAAAAGGACACTGGAAATAAAATGCTTAATTGGCTGGGATTCGAATCCCGTACATTTCACATCAAACCTGTCGAAACAGAAACAAGTCAGTCGTAACCAAATGATTTTAAGAATTCCGCGAGGATTTGAAATTAAAGCACATCGATTGTTTTCACACTCAATAGCCCAGTATCTAAGAATATGTTATACATATATTGCATTGTTAAATAAACGTTTATAATAACATTTTTATGCTTAACGAAACAAATAAGAACCAAGATTATGATAAAAATGATATAATTATCCAAAATATTACATATGCACATTGCAGGCAAAGTTTAAAAACCTGAAGCAGTTAAAATATCTTGAAAAGTTCAATTCACCCAGTCACTCATACATTCAAATTGCACTGAAAACAAGAAATCCACAGGTAAATATTAATACATGTACTTTTATATAGTGTTGAATTAACCAATGATTCTGCTACAGAATAATTAATGCATCGTCAGCAAATTGACTATACTTGAGTGTAAAATGTTTATGAACAAAACATTTAAATCTACAATAAAAAGTTTGCATCCAACTAGTGTTAATTTAGATAGGCTTTGTAAAAAAATATGTTTTTTACCATTATTCCTAATTGCTCATATCAATTTTCAAAAATATTTTAAAATTACAGACCGGTAAAAAATGCAAATTTAGTGTGCAGTCAACAGTTCGCAAAATCAAGGTCAACTACATGGTAAGTGCAAAGTTATTTCTTGCAGCTTTCGTTAATTTTATCAATGATGGCAATTTCAATCTGGCATTAAAAGGGGAATTCTCAAAAATGACGTCGTTAAAGCGTAAATGAAATTGAGAATTCATGCTCTACTATGGGGAAAATAACTTTTTTTCGAAAATTTAATTCATTTAAACTATTGATGATATAATAGAATGTGCAAGAAAAACATCTGCCAAGTTTTTGAAGTTTGAATCGGCTGTCTCGTGCGGATATTCCGTTCCAGGCTGCAACATATTAGTATTACAGGTATTATCAATATGGAATTTATTATGCGTGAGAATGCTTAATTTATTCAAATATTTTACAGATTATTTCTAAAGGATTGATTGTCAAAGGAGGTGTATTCAAAATGAAGAAAACATCGAAGAATTTTAAAGTAATGATTACCGCTGATATGGCACCATCTGCAAGATGCGTAGTCTACTGGACTAAACAGGATGGTGAAGTTATTGCAGATTCCGTCCAATTTGATGTAACTGGTATATTCAAAAACAAGGCAAGTTCTTGTCAATTAACTACTCATTTATTGTTAATTTCCTTTTTAACTCGACTGTACGAAGTATATGGAGAGCTGCCATACTCGCCCCGGCGTCGGCGTCCAGATTTCAGATTAAAGTTTTGGTGCAGTAAAAATATTTTTCACTATAACTTTTTTTATTTCTTAAGGTATCAACTTCAAACTTAAATATATGTTTCTTATCATCAACCACATCTTATGTGACAAGGTTCATAACTCTAGCACCAATATTTACAGACTTATCTGCCCTTGAACTTAGAATTTTCCTTAAAAATTCCAATTTTTTATTGTAACTTCATTATTTCTTAAGGTATCAACTTCAAACTTCAAATATATGTTCCTTATCATCAACCACATCTTATGTGATAAGGTTCATAACTCTAGCACCAATATTTTCAGCTTTATCTCCCCTTGAAGTTAGAATTTTCCTTAAAAATACTTTTTGTACTGTTACTTCTTTATTTCTTAAGGGATCAACTTAATTCTTCAAATGTATGTTCTTTATCATCAAAACCACATCTTATGTGACAAGGTTCATAACTATAGCAACAATATTGTCAGGTTAATCTCCCCTTGAACTTAGAATTTTCCTTAAAAAATACTTTTTTTACTGTTACTTCTTTATTTCTTAAGGGATCAACTTCATACTTCAAATGTATGTTCCTTATAATCATCCACATCTAATGTGTCAAGGTTCATTTCTCTAGCACCAATATTACAAGAATTATCTCCCCATAAACTTAGATTTTTTACATGAAAACTGTTATTTTGATACTATAATTTCTTTACTTTTAAAGGTATCTACCTCAACCTTCAAATACTTATTCCTCATCATCAATTACATCTTATGTGTCAAGGTTCATAACTCTTAAAGCAATATTTTCAGATATATCTCTCTTTGAACTTAGGATTTTCTTTAGAAATATCATAACTTCTTTACGTACTTCAAACGTCAAATATATATTCTTATCATTACACACATGTTGTGTGACAAGGTTCATAACTCTAGCGATACTATTTCCAGAATTATTCCCCCTTGAACTTAGAATTTATGTTAACAAATGTTATACACAATTGATTTTTCTTTCATAGTTTTGTCCTCCTTACTGCATCCAGTATTTTATTAGTCGAGCTTCGCTGCCTCCTGTGACAGCTCTTGTTATGCATAATTGTTTTACTAACATCTCATGTTTCACATTACAAGAAAAAAGAAAAAGTAGGAGAAGTATATATAACATTCTTAATACTACCAAAATTGAAATAAACATAATTTATTTACAATATAGGTTGATATAGATTATATAAAATCGAATGGTAAGAAGACAGCACGTGAACAACCAGGAAATGACGTTTCTATACGAGTGACAGCGGACGCAGGGTCTCAGTGTAACGTTCTTACAGTTGATAAAAGCGTTCTTTTGTTGAAGTCTGGAAACGATATAACGCCTTCTATGGTACAAATGTTTTATATTGTCATATTATTAATTAATTCATAGATAAAAAACATAATGTTTGTGCGTGTCTTTATCACTTTAAATACTTAAATACGGAAATAAAATACAAAACGCAATGGTAAGATTTATTTCGTTCTCATTGAAGTTAATCTTTGAAACTATAATTTTCCATTTGATGTCTGCTTTTCAGCAGTTATCCATAATCTTTACCGACTTCGCTTTTAATGTAACGTAATAGATGATTCTATCTCAATATTTATAAATGATTAAATTCTTTTATCTTCATCGGTGAAGAATATTTTAGTTGAAATGTTATTTAGTATGTAAAGTTTAAAATACGCCGTGCCTTGTGAATCTTTGTTCTCATTTTACAACATCTCGATGACATGCCCATTTCAGATCTCCCTATGAGATAGATTAAGTCAGCAAGTGCTGTATCGTCTCATACAAGTATAATACATTAATATTATAAATGTGAGGCAATTTGTATAAGTAATCTACTGTCTATTAAATTCTTGAACATTCTAGGTAGAAGAAGAACTAAACTCATATGACAGTCAAGCTCCCCCATCATGTAGAGGTTTTTTCCCCTGTTGGAGATCGTATTATCCCCTGCCAGTTAGCGGTGTCGATGTTACTAGTATATTCGAGGTGCTTATCTAGTTAACTTTAAATCAGTTCATTCAGTAAAAAAAGGGGGTTTTTTTGTCGAAATAATTCACGCGTTTTTAGAAGATTTAATAAAGAAATTTTCTCTTTATTTCGAAAGTCGCTTTTCTACTGTACTTTAGTTATGCCACACGTGTTATTTATTCATTATTATCATATATCGGGTGAATCTTAATTTCATATTTTCGTACTTTTATATAGGACTTAAACAATTTTTATGTAGCTTAAGAAATAAACATTTTATAAGTACATACTTTTCTTGTAATTCGTGCTTCTTTTCAGAACTCTGGACTGAAGGTACTGACAGATGCTTACCTGTACCAAAAGCCTTACCATTGTAAGTTTTTCGCTTGTACCATGTTTATTACGAAAACCGATTATTGTAATGCTGAAGTCGGCTGGCGGGAGGACTTTCGTGAACTTTTGGTTAACGCTTAATAACTTGAGTTTGCTTGGCCTATTGATACCACTTGGTGTCCATGCGTCTATGATTAAGGTCAAGGTCACTATTGCTTTAAAAAGAAATGCAGTTTCCGCTCAATAACTTGAGTTTGCTTTGGCCTATTGATAATCTTGGTGTATGGGTAGCTTATATCAAGCGGCAGCTTGGGATTGCTTCCTAGATGTCCGTGATCAAAGTCATTGTCGCTGTAGCTAAAAATAGAAGTTCCGTTTTCTTGAAATTTCTTCAGTTTGCTGAGACCTATTGACACAAACTTGGTTTGTGGGTAGCTTATATCAAGACGCTACTCGAGATTGTTACCAAGGTGTCTGTGATCAAGGTCAAGGTCAATGTTGGTAGAAATAGAACTCAATAACTTGAGTTTGCTTTGGCCTATTCACGCTAAACTTGGCGTATTGGTAGCTTTTTACAAGAGGCAGCTTTTGATTGCTACCCAGATGTGTTATCAAGGTCGAGGTCACTGTTGCTAAAATTATAAGTTATAAATTAAGTTCCCGCTCAATAACTTGAGTTTGCCTTGACCCATTGACACCAAACTTAGTATGCGGGTAGCTTGTATAAAGACCATACTAGGGATTAATACCCAGGTGACTATGATTAAGGTCAAGGTCACTTACAACAAACAGAAATTCAGTTTCCACATAAAAACTTGAGTTAGCTGTGACCTATTGGCTGCGAATTTGGTGTGTGGGTACCTTAAATCAAAACGCAACCCGGGATTGCTACAAAGATTTCTGTAGTCGAGTTCAATGTCACTGTCTAATAATAACTTCACGTTTCTGAAACCTATTGACACCGAAATTAGTATGTGGGTGGCTTATGTCAAGACGCAACTTTGGATCGCTACCGAGGTGTCTGTGAACAATGTGAGGGTCACTGGTGAGTAAAACAAACACTTGAATTTGAGTTGACCAATTGACACCAAACTTGTTGTGTGGGTAGGTGATATTAAGATGCAGCTTGGGATTGCTACTTAGAAATAAGAAAGCAAGGTCAAGGTAACTTGCTTACAATAGACATTGTACCATAGTTTGGAGACCTTTCTGTTGAAAATGTGTCAGGGTTATATCGTATACATATACATTTGTACATGCACAGTGTGTTAACTGGAGTGCGGGTATTAGTTACCTGCACTCCTAACTAATACCCGCACTCCAGAGCATTCCCATTGAATTGGCTTCATTTTTGCTGGGGTTTACATATTGTGACGCAGAGAAAGGGGAAAGCGACAGGAAAATATCATATTCAGATGTTTCGTTCATTGGTTCATTTTGGCCGGGTTTCATATTGTGACAACAGGGAACGTGTTTTTATGTTTGACTATGATACAAAAGAGAAAGAACACCAAAACACTCGGTAATCTGATTAATACTCGGGGGCTACGCCCCCTCGTACAAATCAGATAACCTCGTGTTTCTGTGCTCTTTCTATTACATAGAATTTTCAGCTTCTACATAATAACTGCAGTACATAGTACAGCCTGGCGTTGCTACTCAGGTATCTGGTTTATTTTCATTTTGAACTATTGCAATTGGTAGAAATAACAGCATCATTTTTACTTCACTGCCATATTTCTTTCCTAATTCCTGTCACATCACTTGGTCGTTGAAAACCTAGTTTTCGCCGCATTGCGACGTTTCTTGTTTCATCTTAAATTACTTCTACTGATAAACATTCCCATATTTTTTGTTGTATGTTTGTCCATAACAAAATGCTACATTCAAAATGTCACTAATGATATCACATAATTTACTGTTACAGACCAATTTTTAATAGTTCATTCTTCGTTCAAACATATTGACTTCTTCTTTAACGATCTATAGATATTGCTTTTAATTCTAATATCAACACATCATTATCTGTTAATTTTGGAAGAAGTGCCCGTGGCCGAGTGGTTAACCTACAAACAACGTGTCCCTCAGTTCTGTGGGTTCGAATACCGACAGGGACCTTGGACTCTTTTACATGAGGAAGCTATCCAGCCAGCTTCGGAAACGTAGGTGATACTAAGGTGCCCGTTCGTGCCTTAAGGCAAGAACGCGCGCCTTATGCACGGTAAAGTTGGAAAGTCGCCCTACGACCTATATTGTGTTGGTGCAACAATAAATCCAACTAAAAAAATATTAAGAAACATTAAGACAACAAAAACAGAAAAATTCGGATGTATAAATACATATTAGTATTGCATTAATTTAGTTCGAGGAATAATGTTTGCTGAAGCTATGATGGATGGTCCCCCAATGATGGCGATGGCTAAAAGTAGTAGTATTGGTGGTAATGAGGGACAGGGGCCAAGAGTGAGAACTCTGTTTCCAGAAACATGGGTGTACGAATCTGCTAAAGCTGAGTAAGACTTAAATGATTTGATATATATAATTGATAAACCTTGACGTGAAAAATTTGTTAAATCATTTTGCAACTTAATCAGTATTATTGTTGTTTTTTAAAGTTTTACTATTTATTGCATTCAATTTGTATACAGTTGACTATTCAAACTTTCAGAAATAACGATTCACTGATAAGCGTTAATAAATGTTATTTAAAATTGACAACTATCAAACCGAATTCAGCAGAAAACTATTAGCCTTCATCTATTTGGACAGCACATAATTGAATCTAAATAGATATAGAAAAACAGCAAATATAAAGGTAAATTTTTACAACATTCCTTAACTGATAAAATTGTACATATAGTTAAGAAATGGCTTTTATCATTGAGCATTGGTCTAACAATTCTTTGTAGTTCAAAGGGTAATGCAATCATTAAAAAACAACAGTTCCCGACACCAAAAAACATCAAAGGGTTTTCAAATGGTTTTTCTGTTCATCCGAAGAGTGGAAATTGGCGTTGGGTCCACTACCTGCAAAGGTTTTGTCATTTTAAATTTTAATCTTTTTAATAGCAAGGGTACTTTTAATTATTTGCTCATTGTTTAGTTTTTTTGGGGCAACCCCGTTAAAAACTTTTAAATTTTTTATAGAATGGGTTTAAAGTATATTTGGTATTTAATTCAAGGCAAAATTTTTACAAAAATCATCATAAAAATGCACCCGTTTTTTTAAAATGGGCCCTTTAAAAAAATTTAAAAAACTTTAAAAAAATCCCGGGGAAAAAACGGGGCAAAGATGTTTCCCAACCCCGGGAATCAGTATTTTTTAATTTAAATTTTTTTCAAAATTAAATGGGAAAATGGGGAAAATCAAAATTTTAAACAAATATTTTAAATGTTATTTTTGTTATGAAAAAGGTTTTTGGGCTTCAACAAACTTTTTGTTTTTTCTTCTAAAAATCTGTGCAACATATTTTTTTAAATTTATTTAGTAACAAGACAAATTATTTAATCAAACATTTAAGGCTTGAATTAACTAAAATTTAAAATAACTACCGGTGCAAATATTAAATTTGCAAACTGTTTTTTAGATTTTTTTAAAAAATAAAGGGACAAAAGAAAAGAATACGCTCCCAATTTTTTAAAAAAGAAAAATTTATAAAGGGAAATGGTATTTTTTGTCAATTTCGTAAAATTCCCCCCATTGTTAGGAAAATTTATTACAGAAGAAATCCAACTTTTTAACCCCATACAGTGGCCCCCGTTTTTACAAGTAAATTTAAAATAAATTTGAAAAACAATGTCACAAAAGGTTTGGGTGGTTTATCTTTAAAAAATGTTCAGGCTAATTCAGTGCTAGGGGGCGTGGACGTTGTTTGGCATTTGACTGTAACCGTCTATGAACAAGCTCCCAATCAAACCGAGCCCTGCAACATTTTTAATATTTGCCGTTTTGGAACTTTCTTTTCGGGATTCTTATTTTATTTTCTCTATTTTTTAAAACATTCCGAGTAAAACGCATTGAGAACAATTATAACGTGATTTAAAACACAGATTATTGAATTTCTCTGAAAACCATTCTTAAACCCAAAGGACTTTTCGTTTTTCTATTATTGCTGTTAAAATTGAGTAATTGGCTGTTGTCTAATGTCCAAAAAAGTCGTTAAAAATAGCATCATTGAATACACTAAGCTTTCAACTTATACCCGTTTTAGACTGGCCCATTTATAATTTTCTGATATTTTGAATGAATTACGGCTTGTTTCCATTTATATTAAATGATAATGGTACATGGTCGATTAATGTTTTGAAAGCAAAGATCTGTATCTTTTAACAAAAAAAAAGACAATAACGCTACATTCATTACAGTTAAAAATATGTACGCGTCCGTGTTTTAACAAAACGTTCGTTACCAATTCGTAAACATGTCGCTTTACACAGGTCTAGCATTTTTAATCCGCGGCTATTACATATGTTATCACCTTATTCCCATTCTACAATTCCAATCTCCCCAACGAATGGGTGCATCCTATCTTGTCAAATTATAAGAAATGAATAAGTAAGTCGTACAGATTTACATCTATAACCCGAGAGGCAGTAATCAGTTGTAAAGAAAATTTATACTCGAGACATTGTTCTCTAAAGGTTTTGAATTATTTATAGATATACAGTGAAACCCCTCAATTAAGACCACCCATGGGACTGCTCTAAAGTGGTCTTAATTGCGGGGTGGTCTGATTAGTGAGTTTTAGCATGATAGCCTGGTTATTTGTTTGAATTCTTTCCTTACTGTAGATCTACAAGGTAAATATACTTCCTGTCCCATTTGAGGGAAATACTTCAGGATTTGATAAAGTAAATAAAATTTTCATTTTACATAACTTTATTGCAATAAATCAATCATTTGTCATAAAATAATGTGCAATGTTTTTTATTCTTCATTTATTTATAAAACATTTAACTATGAAAATCTCAACATACATGTACATGTACATAAATTAAGTGCACTAAAATAGCCATTAGCATTTAGATTGTTCTTCAACATAGTCATTAAGTCCTTTTTGAAACAGTACAACTTGAGCTGTTCAATCCACTTAAGGGCATCCTGGTGGGAATTGATTAAACACTCAGTACCAGGTTCTAAAGTCATCAGTACACTCATCGTTATCTACATCTATAGATCCTGTTAGATTTATGAGCTTCAATAAGCTCGTTCTCCCAGTTTCTCACTGATATCATCATTTGCTATCAATTCATTGTCAATTTTAATGTAATCCTCTGGCGTCATCACAGATTCAACAGATATTTTTGACTGAGCGGTTCTCAATCAATTCTACTAAATTCCGCAATAGGCACATTGTCATCATCGTCATCATCTTCCACATCCACACTTTCACGACGACAGTTCAGTCCACAGGCCTTAAAAAAACACTTAGTGACAGTCTCTGGCTTTATTTCTTTTACCGCACAACTAGTCCATTGAATGGCATGCTAAAGACAGTCAAACTCTTAGAAAAGTTCATCAGCACTCACAGTAGATCCATTGTCAAATTTAGCAAGACACTGATGCTTAGCAATCTCTTCCTGTAGATCTGTTTCATGTTTTGAAATAATGCCCTGGTCAAGAGGCTGAAGCTTTTTGATGTAGTGTTGGCTGGAAGGTACTACAAGTTTTCACATTTGATAGTTTCAGTCATGAGGATGAGATGGAGCATTATCTAACAATAACAAAACACTGGCGCCCAGCACGTTTCATTCTAGCATTAGAATCCTTCACCCAGTCAGTAAAATAGTCCACTAGTCATCCATGCTTTCTTGTTGTATCTCCAATCTACAGGTAAGTTCTTTGTGTTTATGTTTTTAAAGCACCTTGGTTTTAGCTGATTTCCCTATCACTAGTGGTTTTTCAAAAAGTCCCTTCCATGTTCAACAAAGCATGACTGTTATGCGATCTTTTGATTTTTTCCCACCTTTACATGATCGCCGCGCAATGTTTAAAGACTTATCTGGAAGTGCACGAAAAGAAAAGTCCAGTTTCATCCATGTTATAAAATGTCACATGACCTGTAACCAGAAAACTATGTCTGGCAACCTCTGAATCCAGTCATCTACTTTTTCCTGAGGTACACTACCACTTTCCCCACACACTGACGCAAAAGCTTATATTATGGCGTTGGTCTTAAACCTTGATAACCATCCGTTTGATGCCTTAAAATCATCATTGATAACCTAGGTCTTTAGCATACACAAGTGCTTTCTCCTGTAGCATGGGACCAGACACTGGTATACCTTGTGAACGAGCAGTTTGGAACCACTGCCACATAAGTGTGTTTACTTCCTCCATTGGCGGACGTTGACATATGCGTTTTCTGTCTACATTTTGATTTGACTCATACCCTTCCATAATCTCTGCCTTACGTTTCAGAATACCCTGGACCTGAAATTACAAAATGAACACATTTAAAATCATAATCAAGATTTTTTTAACTTTGTATGTTTACTTTAACATTTTTTGAATTTCGTTTTTCTTAAGAATTTAAACGGTTAAAGTATCACAGTTTCTAATTGTGATGAAAATTAGCGGGTTGGTCTTAAATCCGGAGTGGTCGTAAGGAGGGTTTCTACTGTACGTGTGTTTAAACTTAAGTGAAATATTTTACAATTCATTGTGCAACCCGTGCCAAATATAAAAAAACCACAGTGGAAATAAGGGACAACTGTTTTTAATATACATATCTATATATAAATCTTCCTGCAGGGTAAAAATTCTCGTTTTACAATGTATTTCACACCTTTGGATATTTCCGGTTTTTGGAGGTAAAATTGCATTGATTTGACTCTAATTTTACAAAAATATCGTCCGGAATTCAGAATTTAGAAGTTCCGGAATTCAGAAGTATTATCTTAATAGAAAATAGAAGGGAAAAATCGGGACCGAAAAAAATGTTCGGTTTTTAGAAGTTTCCGGATTTCACAAGTTCCGGAATTCGGAAGTTACACTGTATCTTTAGTGCTGTAAAGATTTATGTGATAAAAATCTTTTTCATATTGTTTGTATGCACTGCGATGCGTAAATAAAAATGTCTGTCTAGAAAAAAATAAAATCAATCTATTTTCTTGGAAGACAAAATATTTGTGTCTAGAAGAAATCAATCTACCTGTCAAGAAGGTGTATGATACAAATATGTGAATCATAACTACATTACTTTCATTTTATTTCTAAAAAGACGCTTTTGCTTTCAGCTTGAAGTATTTCTGCAGTTTTTCATCCGTCTAGAACTACCGTACTCTGTGATTCGTGGGGAACAGATTATACTACAAGCAAACATCTTTAATTTCTTTACAAAGACACTTACGGTAATAATAGCAAATCTTTGTCGTTTTTTTTAACCATCTTAAACATCACTTGTTTCATGCAAATTGTATTGTAAATCATTAATTACCTTTAAATTTGATATTACTCAGATAATGTAGATCAGTTCTAGACTTCCCCTAACAAACACCCGATTCTTACACTATTTTGTATCTAAAATCTATGAAATTCTTTACAGGTTGATGTCGTATTGAAGAAATCATCGTCTTTCAAAAACATCATAGTTAAAAAGTCTTCAGGCTCATCGACCCTGGTGTTCAAACAAGTAGAGGTTAAACGAAGAATTCAGGTAATCCTTACAAACAATCACGTAACTTACACAAATTGTAACAATGTTTCTATAATGCTATATTTCATCAAAATCTAAAAGCATAAAATACATTTGCTAATGAAAAGGAAAGCGTGTAAGCAAATTTTAGACAATGTTTTTAATACAAATCAGGTATTTACATGAATTATACCAAATTGCCAACGGCGACTAATTATATAATACATGTATAGATATTTCCATTCTTACAAATACGATACTAATGTAATGTGTTATGTTATGTTATTACTTGTATTTAACTGAAATGTTCTAAAAGAAAACTTCTTTGAATTATGAAGCATGTTATACTCATCACAATGTTACATTTAGGTAGCTCCCGGCGGAGGGACAACTTTAAACTTTCCAATAATGGCCGTTGAAGTTGGAAACATAGACATTGAAGTGGGTGCCGTTTCAAAGGTCGCAGGTGATGCTGTTAGGAAACAATTGCTCGTGGAGGCATGTATATATCTGTATATTGTTTAAATTTTTATCGAATGAAACTCAGGTACCCGTTCGTGCCTGAAATAATGCACGGAAGGGTACCTGACGTCTTCCTCTACCTATAAAGCTGAAACGTCGCCATATGACTTATAGTGTGTCGGTGTGACATAAATCCCAATTAAACAAAACAATCAAATAATAGAATGAAATTATGCATGGGCATAGCACGGCGTTTATTATATTAAAACCGTGGTCATGGTAAAAACGCCCGTGTTTTGTTCTTTATTATGAATATTTGTTCGTATTACGGAATAATTCTGAAATACAGTTTATTTGGTGATTTAAAATATATTCAACAAGTAATTAATGTGCATCTAACATATTTGTGTATAAATAGGAACATATAATTAATAAATTTGCTTATGTTGCTTTAAGACAACTCAAACACTAAACAGCTTAATTTCAGTTCCATTAAATTAAAAACCGGAATTCAACTGACACGAGTTCGAAAAAATGAGCAAATGATTATGTTGTATATAAAATTGTCCCAAAAAGATGGATTCTTGTTGTTGATATTTCTAAATAAAAACTTGAAAGAAGTATATGTTGCCGACATATACTTAAGCGTGTCAAGAAGCAGATCTGATAATTCATGGAAGATGGTTTGAATTATTGTATTTTAACACAAATATGATAGAATATAATATTATCAAATTTTTCAGCCTGAAGGTATACCTGAAAGTTATAACATACCAGTTCTGATTGACTTACAAAATGCCAAATCATTCAACAAAAGAATACTGATTACATTACCAGATGACGTCGTTGATGATTCCGTACATATCAGAGCTTCTGCAATCGGTAATTATATAAAATTTATTAAACAGTAAACATGCATTAAGTCGGGCTTGTCCTTTGACGCATATTTTCTCTAACCTGTATATTACTGTTTAAATACCAGGACCTATCCATATAGGGCAGTGATAATAAATAGAAATAGGTGAAAATTCTGATAGGTCATTATGCTATTAATAAAAGAAAACCTCCCTGCCTAATATGTAATGAGAAATGTAAACAAAAATTAAAGAGTTTTAAGATAAAAGTATCACATACTCTTATAGTTGGTTTATTCCACGATTTTATGTCAATTGAAATATATCCATTACAAATGCTTAACATATTCAACATAATATACCCCTTCTTTTGTCTAAAAGATTAAATATTCCTTGATGTGACCAGAAATGATAAATTCTTACTACTTAAATATGTGGAAAAAGTCATTTCAATTACCATTCTCCGTGTACAGATACGACAATCTATCTTATTTCTTCGATCTTTAGAATGAAATCACGTAAAGTTAAAAACAAATGTGTATGTGAGCCGTGCCATGACAGAACCAACATAATGCGTTTGCTACCAGCATGAATCCAGAGCAGCCTGCGCATCCGCGCAGACTGATCAGAATACATGCTGTTCACTATCAGTTTCTCTACTTGATATAGGGTTTGTAAGCGAACAGCATGGATCCAGATCAGACTGTGCGGATGCACAGGCTGGTCTGCTGGTCGCAAACGCATTATGTTGGTTTTGTGATGGCGCGGCTCATATGTATAATTGCTGATATTTATTTCAAAGGTGATCTGATGGGACCGTCTATATCTGGAATTTCTAATTTGTTGAGGATGCCGTACGGGTGCGGAGAACAGAATATGATCAATTTTGTTCCAAACATATTTGTTATAAAATACCTGACTGCAACAAATAATCTGAAGCCAGAAGACGAAAGTAAAGCCAAATCATTTATGCTAGTTGGTAAGCGATAATGTTTTGTTAAAAATCATTGTATAAAAGAAAATAATTTACAATGTTCAAAATGAGCAGACCTAGGTGATATAAAATCGCCGTAAAAATTGACACCGTGCATTTAATTTTTTCTTGAAGTCAGTTGGTACATCATTTTATCATTTACTAATGTCCTAATATAAAAAGGCAATATAAAAAAATGAAATATTTAAAAATAGCTAAAAAAAAAAAGAGTACATCCGAAGCATGTAGCACCACGTTAATGAAAATTATCTGTATATAGCGTACCGCTAAAGTAGTAGATAAATTAATCAACCATTTCTTAGTGCTTACTGATATTGACAAAGTGTGTACATGTTTAGCAGTGCAAGTATTAAACTCTTCACCATGCTTTATTCCAAATCATTGTATTGGAAGTAGAAACAATAATAATGTCACTCTGTTGTTTAAACTACTATAATTGTGAAATGTCAACTAAAGAAAAAGAAATTAATTTCAAAACAAGATTATTGTCTTGTTTAAACGAAAGCCAATTTTACTCTGTGATTGCATGTTTTCGTATGAGGTAATTTTCACTATAGAATTTAATTTTCAGTTAAAATTTATGATAGTAAGTAACGTTTCTTCATTTTGATATTATTTAAAGGATACCAAAAGGAATTGTCGTATCAACATTATGATGGGTCCTTCAGTGCTTTTGGCAACAGTGATCCATCGGGGAGTACTTGGCTTACAGCTTTTGTGATTAAATCTTTTTCACAAGCAAAATCGTACATTTTCATTGATGGTAATACTGTCAAAAGAGCAATCGATTGGATACTGGCTCAATATAAATCTTCAACGGGAACATTCAACGAACCTGGAAAAGTCATACACACTGAAATGCAGGTTTAGTAAAATGTTAAATTTATAAAAAAAATGTTAAACATTGTATTTGTCTGACATTAAGTACGAGAAGTTTACAGATAACCAGTTGTATGATTACAATATTATTTATATAGCACGTACGCAGTAAAGAACAAATTTCTAAAAGACATATGATTTGTAATAAAGGGAACTAGCAAGAATCATTAAATATGATCAAAGATCTTCTGTACGATATATGAAATTATAAGACGCTATATAAATAGTACAATAACGATGGTTTGTTGTTATAAGTGCAGTTTCTACAAAGAACATAAGCAAGGTATGTTATAGTATGTGTATATTGTGAGACTGTATACTCAAGTCATCCTAGCTCTGTACAACTATTCTAAGTTAGATCTAATTTCATTCTGTAAGAGCGGACACAATGGTCAATATAAGATTTGTTTTGTATTTTGATTTTATTCCTTTTTGCATGTACTTGTAAAGTAGATATTTACTCATTTCTAGTAAAAGCTAAAATTTGACTGAAAATCGATTCTTTTTATTTGCGAGTTATTTGAAAATTGTACCTACTCCACCTATCCCTTTTAATGAACGGCGCTAATTTCACAAATGTAACAGAAATGAAAATGAGCATATCTTTATGCTAAGTACATTTTTGCATGAAAATTGATAGAATAATTATCTTTTTCAGTATTTTGATCATAATTATATTTATGATATTATGATATATACTGTCTGACGGTATTTCAATACAATAATAGCGCCAAGATTTTGGAAAAAAAAACTTAACTCATAAGGAAAAGATATATTGTCATGAAGGTCAGATTGTTTCGTTGTTTACAGGGTGGATCAGCAAAAGGAGATCTTAACCTAGCAATATATACACTAATAGCTTTGTTAGAGGCACAAGAAGCAAAGGTATTTCAACATTGTTATTCTTGATAAAGAAAAAGCTACATACCTATAAGACTATTTTTGCCCTAGTAATAAAAGAATACCAATTTTCTGTTCAAGACATAAAGGTGTATTAGTCTTTAGTCCAAATAAAAGTTATTTTACGTTTTATATTCATGATTGTGATATATTACATTTTATATTATCAAGACTTTTTTTACAGCGTATATGGAAAATGAAAAATAAAAATATCAGATTCATGATCTTACCATGCGTAAAATAAATTACGTATGGTTTCTCATCACAAAGTCCTTGGAACTGATGATAACAATATAGTCTGTGCATTCCAAATGATAATGTAAGGTGTGCCACCTAAAAAGCCTAGTGATTTTGCATGGAATTAAAGCAATGATAAGTCTAGTGTGCATCTTATCGTATGCGTGATAAAAAAATTTGTATCCAAATAACAAGTATCTTAATATTTTATCCGAGTTTTTGTTTCACCATCAGTATAATTTTCTTATTTCTTTTTCCCATTAATTCTTACAATAAAGTGATACATGTATTCAGTTTTCTAGTAGTGTTCCGGCCAAATTGTCATCCACTATTACTGGTGTAAAAAATGCATTAGAGGATAAAGTACCAGGCATGGATGATGTATATGAGCTAGCCATTGCTAGCTACGCTTTAGCTTTGATCAAAAGTTCCAAACTTAATGCTGTCCTTGCCAAGCTTGATTCCAAGGCAACGATATCAGGTAACGGTATTAATATTTTCTAACATTTGTTAAATATGTCATAAAACATACTTCTGCATCACGTTTCAAATATAATCTTTGTTTGCAAGAAATGTGATATATAAGCATTTCTATAAGGCTTTGAATCCATTTATCATGTACTAGTATATGATAAAAAATGCACTAGAATTAGTTGTGTACAGTTTTGTTTTTTTAAAATATTTTTTGCATCAATGGCTTTTCGATATTTTGATATTGTATACTTGTTATTGACATTTATGTTTGCAATGTCTTTACCTTTAATAATTTTAATTCTCATTTTAATTCAGGTGGCATGAAGTACTGGAAGGTAGAGGAGGAGCCTGACACCAGTAATTTAAGATGGATACCACCACATTCTCAGGCCAGGTCTCGTAATATAGAAACGACAGCTTACGTTTTGTTGTCATACGCTACTACCGCGAAAGTAACTGAAGGTATTCCAGTAATAAAATGGTTGGTAAACCAACGTAATCCAACTGGTGGATTCGGATCGACACAGGTATTTGAAATAAAAAAATGTCAAGATAGATTAAGTTCTAATCTATAACTTTCATCCTTTTATGGGTACACGTATGCTAAACTTATGTAATTTCAATGTTGTAAATCTGAAAAAGTGTAAATACATAACTGTGAAGTTACTTGCATGTTGAGACATAGAAAATAATTATGTAATTAGAAAAAAGCATTACTAATTCAATCGTATTCAAGAAAAATGTTTTTCAAGAAATAATTACTTGTAGTGAAAATAATAACTTTAATCTCTAAACCAGATGACTTGTAATCAACTGATGCAAACATAATTCAACTTTATGACAATCTATGCATGCTTTAAAGTCTGTAAATTACAACAACTATCCAAAACTCTATTATTTTATTATATAACAGGATACGGTGATTGCTCTACAAGCTCTGTCAGAATTTGCAGCTCTAATATATTCCAAAAAATTCAATGTCAACATCAAGATAGAAGGAACACCGACAAACTTTGGTCATTTTTTTGAAATCAAGTCACAAAATGCTCTTCTACTTCAGTCAGTTGATGTATGTTTCTTTTGTTTATTAATTATTGTACGTTAGAAAAAAAATCAAACTTACAACTGTGAGGATTCTGTCTCATTGTTTTTGCACATCCAGACTTTATTTGTTCTTTGTTATCCGTTATCCCCCCCCCCAAAAAAAATAAATAATTGAAATATGTAAAAGATAAACACAAACACCTATATCGCTTGTAACAATTTAGCTTTAACTTACATGTTTCTACTTCAAACCTTTTTAAATATAGTCACCATTTGGACCCGTAATCCTAATTGATTACCTATATAACAGTCGGCAGGAAGTGTTAACGTGTTGCGATTGTGTTTGAAGAGTGTACAACTATCTTCCCGATGTAATACGTAAAGATATTGTTGTAACCCCAGAGGGGCTCGAACCCGTAATTCCTTGGTTGAAATACATCAATCAGCTGGCCGAGAAATTTTACCATTATGTTTATATTTCAGGTTCCACCTCCAACAAAAATAGTTGACATACGAGCCGATGGTAATGGAATGGCTCTTGTAGAGGTTGGTTTCTTTCTAAACATATCTCTCCTGTGTCGTATCATGACTGGATTGTTTGAATTCAGTAACTGGGATATCTGAAGATTTTGCCATTTAAATGTTAAATAAAAGCTAATTGATAATTATCTAAAAAATATTTTTTTAAACATAAAACACTTTGAATTTTTACTGTCCATACCGTGCAATGTTAGAATCTTACAAGTCAATTTACGTAATTCACATAATGCATTCTGAATACATGTAATAAGTATTATCGTTTTAAAATACCGTAAATAAGTCACCCAAATCACAATATGTACAACTGTTTCAAGTGTGTGTACATGTACTGCATATAATAATTTCAGATAGCTGTAAACTATAATGTAATGGCAGATGTCGTGAAACCGTTATTCTCACTTTTACTATCCACCACTGACGAAACAATGTCAGGCTTTACACTACAGGCCTGTTTCAGGTCATATATTTATGTTAAAATTATATATTCACTGAAATCAAATTTCTCTGTATTATAGTATATTTTCTCTGTATATAGTTAAACAAGATTTTTTTAATGTACGCATGTTCCTGTTTTCTTTTGTGACCTGCTGTACTGCTTTTGCCATTTTCTGACACATATAGTAACGTTTATTATAAGGAACTGACAGGACAACAACTCATATATGTGTATGTATCACATGAAGAAATACTTTTGGAAAAACCACGATTTGATTAAAAATATATGTGTGTATAAAGCTTTATATTTGTTTTTTTACCGCCTCCGTGGTCGAGGGTTTAGAGACTATGACTTCTAATCCAGTTACCTCTCTGGCGTGGGTTCGGTCCCCGGGAGATGCTTATGTAGTTTAGCACGGAGGAAGGTAGTCTAGTACTGGTGTAACTCTCCAGGAACGATGATTAGGAAACTACCGCCTATATGACTGAAATACTGTTGGGAAAAGGCGTAAAATGAAACAAACAACTTTGGTGTTTTTGGATGTCAAAAATATTGTTTAAAATAGCTACAAAAAATAAAACAAAAGAAACATGCCCATATATTTTAATGAAGCGAGTGGAACATGTGTTATATAATCGCAAAACCAACTTAAATAGCAGGGACTATTTTGTTCCGGAACATGTTATTCTGATTTACGTACAATATTCATGTATGTTAAATAACAGGGGCATTCTATAACTTTTTCCAGATATTACCGTTAGCATATGAAAACAATATGTATTTACGGCTTTTAATCTTTACAAAATTTCTCATCAGATATAGCTTTATACCCTTTAAATGACACTAAGAAGTCCGAAGTCAGTGCAAGGCTAATCCAACCATAATGTTTAAAGTGTACTGGTCTGTAATGGAAGACCTATAGTACCATAAAAAAGTATGTTGATAGTACTAAGTATAATGCATAACAACAAAGCAGGGTATTCTTAAATATAAATGTTGTTTATGAGAGACACATGATCCGATAATACATATCTTTTTCTCGATAATAATAAATGATTCGAGAACAAAATATAATTTTCATCATATAAATGTTCATTCTGACTCACTAGAATTTTATCATCTTTTTTTTCAAGAATTTTCAAATTAAAGATTTCTACTGTTTTTATTAATATTTGAAATAGCAATGGGAACTGTGTCCATTGTAGACAAATCTAATTTAAAACTTACTTGTTGACGTATTTAGATATTTTAATTCGTCTGTGTTAAAGCAGCATCCCTCCAGATTCATGCTAATTTTCATGAAACTTTTAAAAAAAGTATTTAAAAGTGAAATATTGTGAAGTGAACAAAGAAAATAACTTACACATTACAAGCAGCGTAAGCAACCAACATAAAATACCAAAATAGGTCAAAATAAGCCCTTACCCCGTTTGTAACGCTGTAGAAATATGATGATAAATACTGCAAAAGCAGTTCTGAATCCCAAATTACATGTAAATTATTAAGTGAATCCTAAATCTTTGTACTTTTCTTAAAATCTTAGTACATTTTTCTCAAGTTTAATTTTCTTGAGAAATATTTGGTCTCATCTGGGGCATTAAAGTTGCATGGTGCTTTATTGAATAGTGGACTAGCCTTAATCTGAAGCTGCTATTTAAAGACCCATGCCTCCAGATGAGCAAAATGATTTCGAGAAAATAAACTTTAAGAAAATTGTAGTACAATTCTTCACAACGTAATTAAAGATTTACATGTTTTATGTACTGAATGACTAATTTTTCATTAATTTAACTTTATTTCTACCGTGTGAGGTGAGTTTTGGAGATATGTTGACCTTTTTATCTTAAATTTCGGGGATTGGACATGCGGTTTGCAATGTGTTAATTACTTTATTCACTTGATAATATTTTACATTCCAATACATAGTAATGAAAATGAACAAGAGTGTGGCAGCATGGCAGTTTTAAAGGAGTTCGACATCAGGAAACGATAACGAAGCATCCTACTGATTGTAACGAATATATCGATTCTGTATGTGCATACTAGTACTTAGATGAATGCAAGTTTATTTTAGTTCGATTGTGTTAGAATAAGCTTATTGAAACACTCTCGAATCCGTTCCTTGAAATAACCAGTACTTAGCAGCGGCTGGTCTAGATTCATAACTAGTAAGATATAGACAAAAATGTCGAAGCTAGCATTCAAATGGTTATTTTGAAAAACTTAAAATTTTGACATGGTATTTGCATACTATACAGGGGACCTGAACTGATACATTATTACTTTTTTTAAATTACAGTTGGCTGGGTGATGGTAAGAGTGGTATGGCAATTATGGAGATAGGGCTTCTCTCAGGATTTGCAGCCGACACATTCAGTATTACACACGTCAGAATCATGAAACGTGTAGAAGAAGGAGAAAAGAAAATCATCATTTACTTTGATGAAGTACATATCAAATTCTAATTTCAAAACAAAAATTTATGTATCTATTGGTGCTAACTTTGACCTGTAATTTCATTGGTCATTTTAAAATTACAAACAGGAATCTGGGAATCTCACTGGTCATTCTAACATAATATGTTAAGGATGGTTCTTGCTCTCCTAAAATAAAATTTTAAGGATGGATAGTTCTATAAAATAAAATGTAATGGATAATTCTAGCCATTATAAAATAAAATGTCAAAGTTACATAGTTCTGAAATAAGATATACAGGATAGTTCTTTCACTTTCTAGTTAAATAGCTTAGTATAACCTTACATTTTAAACATTTTACACTATACTTAGATCTCATTACATTTTCTAGGACACATTATATAATACATAAGTACTTACAGACTATATTTTAAAGTTATAATTTTTGTTCAAAGTAACGACACAACCAATAACGTTCACGATCCTGTAAGTTTATACTCATTCACACGAAAATACCGAAAACCACACCAAAAACAAAACCAACGCCCGTTAACAATTTTTTACAGTGTTTCAGCGTAGCTTTTTGCATTAAAGATAATGCGTTTATAAGCGTTGGTTTTTTGTTTTATACTATCCAATTATTTCTTTTTGCAATATTTTATACATGTATGTAACTCTTTAAATAATAATTTACCAATATTGCAACCATAATGTTCTTAGCTACAAGAAATTATTACGACTTTTATATTATACAAGCCTTGTTTAAATTTCTATAGGTATCGAAAACCAGTTTGACTTTGGCCGAGTGCCTCTATTTTAAAGATAATGTTTGATTCAATTAAGAAGGAGAACCTTACTTTGTCCGCTAAATAGTTCCGTTTTTATTTATTGTTTACAGAAAGTGTTTTAAGCATACCATAATTTTAATATTTTATGTCTATTATTTAATTATCTCATCAAGTTATGCAATGTTTCTAATTGAGTATTCACGTAAAGACCTGCACTCTGAGTAAAAAGTATTAGGCGTTTAAGAATACAAAGTGCAAGCTGTTTATTATCACTACTATATATGACTTGTTATACATTTAATTGTTTAGATTCCAGGAGATATAGGAACATGCATTCAAGTCCGTATGCAGAGAGAAGGACTTGTGGTCGGTAGTCAACCAGCTGTTGTAAAACTATCCGACTATTATAAACCAGGTACTGTACCATTTTTGACAGTGTGCCAAGGTGTTAATTTATATATGTAGTGTTTAATAGAATAGATTCATAATCACGATCTGATTCATATTTTATTCCCTATGTTTCATATTGCACATATAACAAAAGGCGAGATAAATGTATACGGGTACAGGAAAATGTTAAACAAAAGATTTTATTTGGATTAGCGAAATTGTATTGTATTTCTAGAGACCCTGCAATCTGTCACAAAAGTAATGAAAGTCTTTTTTTTTTGGAGATTAACAAAACTGTTTTTCTTCATCTTCAAGGTAAATAAAAGATATCAATACATGTACATTTTGTATTAAGTAAACCTGCTTACACTTATATAATTCTATCTAATTTTAGAAAACCACGCATACAGTTTGTACCAGCCACGATTGTTAAAAGATGCCAATGTATGTAGTTTGTTGAAAAAAGAACTTGGATGTTGATTATAAATAAAACGATACAATCCGATGCTTGTGTACTGTTTTCTCTAAACCCACGAGAAACTTATGTAGCAGAATATATTGACCCACTAACAATGACCAGATAAATAAACAAACAGGTGCGATGTTAAATTCTAGGTCCATTATTAAAAATTTGGAAATAAAGTGATCACTCGATCGGAAGCATTAATCACAACAAAAGTACAAGAGAATTGCAGACTCGGTTTGTTGAGTCTGTACATGAAGGATAATGAATACATGCAACATCCCTCACGCCCCCTGGCACCGGATTGAGCGGTACTCAATTCTCTGCGTCTAAAACAGTGTACATGGAAAAATGGCACTGATTGTAATGGTACATGTAAATAATTGCTGCTGGTTTCTATCCAGAGTCTCTGATTACTATAAAGTCAGTAGGTCCTATAAAAAACACTGGTTGCGAGGAGAAGTATTATCTACTCCGGAAAGAAAGTCAATGGCTGCTATAGAAGTCAATGGCTGCTATGGAAAACTGGTTCATATAAAAAGCCAGTGGTTTTTACGGAAGCCAGTGGTTGCTATGGAAACCCATGACTCACCTTGAGAGCAGGACCGATTTCTACTCCTGTACTGCAATTTGAACTTAATAGAGACATGTTAGACAATATTTCATGCCAAATATCAGCCCTAGCATTTGCAGGTTCAGAGAAGATTATTAAAATGTTTACTATATCACGCACGGCAAACTGTCGCTCCACTTCAAAATTGTGGTGTACGGTAAAACGAGCGAAAGGCATTTCCGAGATGGAGTGGAAGGTTGATTTAAACGGCTAATTGTAAATTTTGTTTATGTTTTTGTCTTGTTATTCATTTAAGATGTATTTTTTCTAACAACGGAAAATGTAGTTCCGTGTAGGATTGTTTTGGGCTTCCAATAATCTAAGTTGTAATACAAAAAAATGTTACATTACATTATATTAAACGTGGGAGAACTTTTTCAACGACGAAGTGACGACGATTTGTAGAATATTTAAATTCCCAATCATTAAAATGCCATACCCTTCGCATCTTTTTAAAAAAAAAGGGTATTAGAAAAATATCAGCCCGTAACAAGAACTTGTCCGTCGTGCAATTTAAATAACGCTGAAAGATTTCTTAAATTTGTAAATCGATATTTTTCGAAAATAGTGGAGCCAAAGCGCAGGAGAGGGAGCGAAAGGTTCGATGTTGAGCGCAAGGCGGTATTAATTTGGCGTATTAGGAGGAGCCTAATCTATGAATTTTTATACATGAAAGCTATAGAAGTTAAAATAGACATGATCAAGTGTTGAGACCGAGAGATATATACCTTTTAAAGACAACTTATAAAGCGTGATATCCTTTCAACGACTATAGCGTAATAACTGTAATCGCGAAGGTGTCACCTGGATTCCATTATTTATGTTCCAAATTTGGACGAGGCCCGGTCATTGAATCATATGCATGGCGTAATACAGGATACTACTTATTCGAGGTCAATCATGATTTTTGACACGGTTATGTACATTTAAAAACGTGTGTCCGTGCTAATTCGACAAACTCGAATATTTTCAGCTCTACCGCGAACAAATGTTTCTGAGCAGGTACGTACGTGTAACGAGATTGTTTACGCTGTTATGTATGCAACATATTACATGTATATAATTTATATCTGACCAGTTGGTATTTCCAATATTATCATTGTTCTATTTTTAGAACATAAACTACATGTATGTACTAGAAGGTTCTTAACTGTTGTAGAAAACTCATGCATTATATTTAGATAGAAACTTCTGGAATGATCTTTATTGTTGAAGTTGCTAGATTATGATTACTTGAGAACACAATAGACCTTTCTGGAAACTTCTTAGTTAATATATATAAGGAGACATTTTTCATTAATCTTATCTTTTAAGTCATCAGTGATCTTTAAGTCATCAGTTACCTTTTTAGTCATCAGTAATCTTTTAAGTCATCAATATATTTGGAGTATTATTCAACTTGGAAATTAAGTGATTTATTGGAGCTTGGATTATTAATTATTCTTGTGGATTTTATTGTGGGAATTTATTCTAAAGTGTTCTTGGATTTAACTTGGATTTAACTGTGCTATTAAAAAAAAAGGATCATTCCAGGATCAGACTAGACATTTGTAATTTTTATTTGGACTTCAGGTATTTGTAAACATAATTTGTTATTTTATTTTTCTTTAATAATTTTTCTGTAATAAATTTGTTATTGTTACAAGTTTGTTGCTGGCTTTTCTTTCTCGTTACGCCTGGCTCGTAACAGAAATTGGGGGCTCGTCCGGGATTGAATATTTCTTTTTGGCTACATTATTGGAAATCATTACCGTTTATTTTACATTTTATTATTACCGTATTTACTCATTTGAGTTGATATCATAGTTGTTCTATTAAGTGTGCCTTTCAATTTTGAATTTTTTGAAACACACCACTTTCTGAGTTTAAAACCAGCAGCAAGCAGTCATGTCTTTTAATTTAGAAAAGTTTGTAGCTGAACCTTCCCAGGAGGTATTAGATTTGGCTAAGAAAACTGATTTGCTTGATCTTGCAAAAAAGTATAATTTATTAGGAATTAAATCTTCAATGCGTAAACAAGAAATTAAAAATTCTCTAATTCATTATTTTGTGGATGAAGATATTTTTGGACAAGATGCACTTTCTCTGATTGTTGAAACAAACCCAGAAATTAAGATAAAAGAGCTTGAACTTCAATTTAAATTTGAACTAGAAAAAATGCAGTTTGAAAAAGAAAGGGAAGAAAGACAGATGGAAAAAGAAAGGGAAGAAAGGCAGTTTGAAAAAGAAAGAGAAGAGAGAGAATTTCAGTTTAAAATGAGAGAATTAGAAATCAAAGAGAGAGCAAATCAGTTTGAACATAGAATGAATACAAAATTTGATGTCACTAAAAATATTAGGCTTGTTCCACCTTTCCAAGAAAAAGAAGTTGATAAGTATTTTCTTCATTTTGAAAAGGTTGCTGAAAATTTAAAATGGCCAATAGAGCACTGGACATTACTTTTACAGAGCGTCTTAATTGGTAAAGCTCGTGAAATCTATACACAACTTACTGTCGAACAAAGCTCTAATTATGATAATGTAAAAGAATTAATTCTGAAAGGTTATGAATTAGTACCAGAGGCCTACAGGCAAAAATTTAGAAATTCTAAGAAAGAAATTGGTCAAACCCACGTCGAATTTGCTAGAGAAAAAGAACAACTTTTTGATAGGTGGTGTCTATCTAAGAAAATTAATAAAAATCATGAAATGCTCAGACAGCTCATGTTAGTTGAAGAGTTTAAACGTTGTATTCACTCTGATGTTAAATCTTTCTTAGATGAAAAACAGGTAGAAACTTTAGAAGAAGCTGCCCGTCTAGCTGATGATTATTCTTTAACCCACAAAGTCTCATTTATAAATAAAGGGAAGTCCACACCCTCACATTTTAATTCCAAGTTCAATTCTGGTAATTTATCTGGCTCATCTAGTCAGTCAAATACTCCCAAACCAAAGTCATCTGATGAACATAAAGGTCATAATCCCTTATCTCGTCCTACATGCAATTATTGCAAGAAAACTGGACATCTTATTTCTGATTGCTTTACCTTAAAACGGAGGCAACAGCAACGTGATGAGGCCAAACCCACAGGTCTTACCACTTCAAGGTCTGAACCTCAGTCTTGTATTGATAACAATGCAATTTTGAAGGTCAAAGAACCCAAGTCTGATTCTATAATGGAGATTTATGAACCATTCCTTTCGGAAGGTTCCGTGTCACTTATCGGTGATACTTGCCCACCTACTCCTATTAAAATTTTAAGAGACACAGGAGCTTCTCAATCTCTATATTTAGCAGATACACTGCCTTTTTCTGAGAAGACTTCTTCTGGATCTAGTGTCCTTATTCAGGGTGTAGAGTGTGGTTTTTCTAATGTCCCTCTCCATAATATTTATTTGTCCTCAGATTTGGTAACTGGGCCGGTGGCTGTAGGTATAAGATCTTTCTTACCCTTTAAAGGTGTTCATTTATTGCTAGGTAATGACTTAGCTGGAGATAAGGTAGTGGTAAATCCACTTGTAACTGACACTCCTTGTGTGGATCAGATACCTGACCCCATTGAGCAGGAAATTCCTGACCTTTACCCTTCATGTGCAGTTACTCGAGCTATGGCTAAGAAGGCCATTCAAGAAGATAATTATTGTTCAGATATTGACTTAGCTGATACTTTTATAGGTCAGTCTTTTGATAATGAAAAGAATTTTTCTCTTACTCCTACTCTGCCTGAAACTCAGACAGATTTTTCAATATCTGACTTTTCTACACCAAGATCTAAAGATCAAGGTCACGACACGCTGTCAAGGTCACAGCTTATCCAGGAACAACAAAATGATCCTGAGATTTCAGTCCTTTTTCAAAAGGCTTATAGTGAAGATGAAGCTTTACAAGTCCCTGTTTGTTATTATGAAAAGAATGGGATTTTAATGAGAAAATGGCGACCGCTCGATGTCCCTGCTGAAGAGGAGTGGACTGTAAATCACCAAATTGTGGTCCCTAAATCTTATCGCCAGGAAATATTACACTTGGCTCATGAAACACCCATGGCAGGTCATTTAGGTGTTAATAAAACCTACCATAAAATTCTCAGTCATTTTTATTGGCCTGGCCTTAAAGCAGATGTATCTAGGTACTGTAAATCTTGTCATACTTGTCAGATGGTTGGAAAACCTAATCAGACAATACCTAAAGCTCATTTACAGCCTATTCCTGCATTTGATGAACCTTTTAGTAGAGTTATTATTGACTGTGTAGGTCCATTACCAAAAACTAAATCAGGTTCTCAGTACTTATTAACTATTATGTGTGCTTCTACGCGCTTCCCTGAAGCTATTCCTTTAAGAAATATTAAAGCCAAAACTATTGTCAAGGCTCTTGTGAAATTTTTCACATTTGTTGGTTTACCTAAATCAGTACAGTCTGATCAAGGGTCAAATTTTATGTCTGGTATTT